CCAATTAAATTTTTTGTTTTTTATTTTTCAAAAACCATTTTGAAATTCTTTGTAAATTTAAAAAAAAAAAAAGAAAAAAGAAAGTAGTTATGAAAAACAGGTTTTTGTTTTTCAAAATCTATTTTTTCCTCTGATATTCAACTTTTTTTTATCATATTTATTTCTAAAAAATTTATTTTTCACTCTAAATTTTTTTTATTTCTAAATTTCTCTTTACAAACTTTATTTTTTTCTGTCTAAAATTTTCATATTTTGAATATTTATTATTATTTGTCTCTCTTCAAATTTGTCTGTATTTTTGTTTTTTTTTCTAACAGACCAATTTCATTTCTCTCTTTAAAAATTTAATATTTTTCCTAACTTCTCACTAAAATTTCATATTTTAAAAATTATATTTTATTTTCTCGTTCAATTTTCTTTCACGGTAACTTTTATTTATTTCTGTATTTATTTATTTTCTATAAAAATTATATTTTGAATCTTATTTTTATTTCTAAATTTGTTTTCATGGTAATTTTTCTCTTTCTTTATAATTTCTTTTTTTTTTCTTTAACATATTTTTTCTTCTAGACTTTATTTTTTTCTCCAAAATTTTTCTCTTTTTGTCTTTAACTTTTTTTTCTCCTAAATATTTTTATTTATCTTCCAAGTTCGTGGATATCGAGGTTCCACAAGCGGTACCTGATACTGTATTTGAAGCAGTTGCTCAAATTAACTGATTTATGTATAGGATTCCATTCGCCCCATGGTTGGAAACTAATGATTGGTTCTGTCTACAAAGATTTTGGATTTTCTCATAACGATGAAATTATATCCGGTCTTGTTTCCACTTTTCCAGTCATTCTTGACACAATTTTTAAATATTGGATCTTCCSTTATTTAAATCGTGTATCTCCGTCACTTGTAGTGATTTATCATTCAATGAATGACTGAAAAATCTAATGTTTGTTACTTTGTACATAAGTAAAACATTAAAAATTTTAGGGGATTTGTAATGGGTAGCATATAAGTTTTCTATATTTAACAAAATAGCATGCCTTTTTGATATTTTCAGATATAGCATTTTTTTTTTTAAATTCTGATTTTAAAATTTTCAGTATTCCCAAATTACCCTTTTTAGTTATCGCTTCGTTATTATATATCAAATATATATCACATATATATCAGGAGTATATCTGACAACATTAGTATATCAGAAGTAAATCAATAGTATATCAAAAGTCAATCAGTTCTATATCAGTTGTAAAATAGTAAATCACTATTTTACATGCTTTAACCCTTTGTCTTGTATTTTTTTGATCAATTAGAAATTAGTAGGTATTGGCATGCATGAAAAATGAGAAAAAAAATTTGATACTTATTGAAAATGAGAAAGAAAACTTGAAAGGAACGTGAATGTGAACGTCAATGGTGATTTTCGAAATTACTGTGAATGAGAAATCAATTAGAAATTAGAGGTAAATAGAAACTTAGGGTTTTTTGTATATCAATAATATATCACTGATATATCAAGTATACATTGTACATATATCAATAGTACAATTAAGTTTTATTTAAAGTTTTAAAGATCAAAATGGAAGCAGCAAAAATGTCATTCTTAAAAGGTTTAAATATCATTCTTGGGTAGCAACATCAACATCAAATCAGCAGCAAAGTCCTTCAACCAAAAACTTAAAGGTTTAAACATCAAAACGAACCAGTAGCATAAACCAAAAGTAGACTAACAATGTCATTCTTAAAATTCTATAAAAGAAKAAGCATAAGTTCCAACAGTCTAGAAAAGCGTAAGTTTCATTCTTKTATAATCTTTAGGTAAAAGCTTGAGACATCAAGTTCTTGGTGATTGTCGTGTTTTCGGAGATACTATCTTTGAAGCTTTCCGTTTTTCCAAATACAACACTTTTGGCGTTGGTTTATGTTGTCTTTTGGGACGAACGACATCAACATTTTCGACGATGTTTTTTTATTTCATTTTTCGTGTTTGTACCATTGCTTTTATCTGRAAAAAAAATTATTTCATATATTAGTATATCATAAAACATATATTAGAKGTAATATGTTYGAAATAATTGGTAGATATCATAGTTATATAAGAAGTAAATCAATTTTATAYCATATGTATATCAAACATATATCACTTATATATCAAGARTATRYATGTTAATCATAGTTATATCAGAAGTAAATCAATAGTATATAAGAGTCAATCAGTTTTATATCACATATAGTAGTAGATATCATAGTTATATCAGAAGTAAATCAATTTCATATCATATGTATATCAAACATATATCACATATATATGAGGAGTATATCTGTCAATCATAGTTATATCATAAGTAAATCAATAGTATATCAAAAGTAAATCAGTTCTATATCACCTATAGTAGTATATATCATAGTTATATCAGAAGTAAATCAATTTCATATCAAATATATGAAACATATATCACATATATATCAGGAGTATATCTGTCAATCATAGTTATATCATAAGTAAATCAATAGTATATCAGAAGTCAATCAATTCTATGTCACCTATAGTAGTAGATATCATAGTTATATCAGAAGTAAATCAATTTCATACCATATGTATATCAAACATATATCACATATATATTAGAAGTATATCTGTCAATCACTAGTATATCAGAAGTCAATCAGAAGTAATTTATTGTTGGTTCGGGCCTGTAGGGTATATTTGTAATTTATAACGTGGGCCTCCGGTTTTTTGCCAAAAAAATGCTATATTTGAAAATCTCAAACCTTATTGCTATTTTGCTTATTTTCCTAATTTTTTTTGTCATATCTCAAGTTGCCCCAAAATTTTATTCCTTCTACCCATCCARAAGGATGCCTCCTATATTCGAGTAACATTATTCTCTATTTTCATGTCTCTACATTATGGGGAAGATAAAAATTTATGTAAGGTCGGGTCCCAAAAATAGAAAATGCATGTCCTGACTCCATCCCCGTCCCGATTCCATTTTTTAAATAATTAGTATATTTTTATTACACTTTTTTTATACTTAAATTCTAAAAATAATTAAAAACAATTATAAAACCAATAATTTTTTTCAAGAACATCTCTCGGACTCAAGAACGAGGTGGAGACGGAGACTAAAAATTTTCACGAGCCCGATAATAGAGAGAGCATCCTCACTCGCACCCACACCATTGTCATTTCTACTCTATATAAAATTTTCTCTCTCTAATATGTATTTTTAATTTTCTAAATTTTTAAAAACAAAAAATTAAAAATGGTTACCAAACATGTTTTGGTTTTTTGTTTTTAAACAAAAAATGGTTCTCAAACATATATGGTTTTTGTTTTTTAAAAACAGAAAACCAAAAACCAAAAACTAAAAACAACAAAACCCAAAAACCAAAAACTATCAAACGGGCCCTTAATAATTTATATCAAATATATCATCGAATAATGATGAAGTAGGTTTTGTTGATCTTAAGAAACAAAATGCAAGTGGATTTCATATTAAAGTGTTCAAAAACTTAAAGTACTGGAGTTAGCAAGATCTAAGAAAATGTTTACTTGGCTGCAGGGGAGAAAAAACTCCAATCAAATCTAATTTGAAATTAGAAGCTACGAGACTTATGAAAAGATTAATCTGTTTGTTTCACATGCACTAAGATGTTGCATTTGCGGTGAGTATGATGAGTCAATTCATCTCAACGGGATCTATTCATTTTGAAATTGTGTATATAATGTTGAGATATTTGAAAGTAAGAAACATAATCATCTTTTACGTTTATATTGAGGCAAATTGAGTAGAAAGCACTACTGATAGAAGATTTATTTTTGGCTGTTGTTTGTTGGATGGAACTTAGTTACATGACGAATTAAAAAAATAAAATGTAGTAGTTAGGATAGCGTTGAAGTGGAATTTAGAACTTTGGCCCATAGAATATGTGAACGTATATGGATTAAAAATATACCTGAATAATTGATGTTCTCTTAGAAGACAACTATAAGAGTTTATTGGGACAACAAAACTGCTGTTATTATAACTCATAATCCACGTGTTACAACAAAGTATGCTTGAAGTTGACAAACATTTTGCAAACGAGAAATTTGATGTTGTCGCAATATATCTCTTTTCTTCCAACAATAAAACAAACAACTAATATGGTAATTTAAGGTCTTTGAAAGGGACAAATCGAAAATTAATAAACAAGTTGGCTATGAAAGACGTTTTTAAACCAACTTTAGGGCGAGTGTTGAATTTCTTATTGTAAGTATTACTTATCGTGTTAGTAAGAGTACATTTGGTTGGTAATCTGAAAACAAGTGTTTTCAAATACGTGTTTGGTAGTAGATTTAGAAATTGAATTTAAATTTTAAAAAATGTTTAAGGTATTTAGTAGTATATTTATAGTTCAAGGTATTTAGTAGTATATTTCTAAACAAGTGATAGTTACCAACTAAATATTTAGTTAAATCTAACATAATATTAATTAATCTATTAACATATATGTTATAAATTTTGTACAATTATTATTTTACAATATTATATATTTTTATTATATTTCACATTTTTAGATTGACAAAAATGAAAAGAGATTATAACATGATATAATATATTTATCAAAACTTTTATCTTTCTTAATACAATTCTACATTTTAAAGCTTCATCAGGATTTGAAAACCCTAAAAACATAAATTTTGTTTTTAAAATTTCAACTGTTTGGATCACAGGATCCAAAAACAGTTTTCATATTCATTGAATCCATTTGAATCAGTGAATAAAAACGAAAAATATAATCTAGATTGCATGACAAACAAGCCCTAACATTTTTATTTCTTCCTAAATCTCTAATAAAACACTATTTTTGCTCATAAAATAATTACTTGTGTACATCTCCTAATTTTTTCAAGTTCTTAGGTATTGTTTTCCATAAAATATGGTGTGACATAAAATATGGTGTGACATATAAATTAGCAAAGACATACATACTTGGCCTAATCAACAAATCCGTTTCCATTCATGAAGAATTACAGATAAAAATATTTTATTCTGCAATCAGTCATCCATATTTGCTGCAGTTCTCCAACCAAATATTTAGCCAAATGTTACATAATTAAGAGCAGACGAATCAAGAACAAGTTGTTTCCTAACCTTTTTCAGCACCTCTGTTGTGGTGGTTGTATTTGACAAAAGAGTTTTAAAAAATAGAAAGAAAAATGAAAAATAAAAAGAGATGTATCAGATGCAAGACACTTTCTTGCAAATTTAAGCCTATGGAGAAAAAATCTTCAATTTGGAAGAATGTCTATTATACCCTTTACAAGACGTACAACTGATTAGAAACACATGTTAGACTGTACAAAGAATTCCTTCAGCAACTGCAGCAGTGCCAAAGAGACCTCAACCAATATCTGGAACTGAAACCAACTTCTCAAAAAGTAAATCTTAGTCAATTGATTTAATTGTCTTTTCTCCTGAAATGTATTAACCTCTGAACTCTGAAGTATGGTTGGCAGTTGAAATATGCGAACGTACCTCGAAACTTGCAAGCTTCATAGCTTTTAAGGATTTGTCCAAGCCCCCAATGGAAGCTAACCAATATGTGAAGGATGCTGCTCTACAAGAGCCTCCCCATCCCGCTTGGATGGAACTCGTGACAGTGTATGGTTCAATTGCCATTTCTCGCATGGTGAAGCAACGATTCAGTTTGTCCTTTGTCATCATATGCCTTTTTTGTCTTAGCTTTATCTAATCGAGCCTTGCGCACGGCATGCTGGATTTGTTTTTCATGCTCTTTCAGCATTTCCTCAAGGTTTCCACCAGGAGGCATCAAGGGTCCAGAATAGTGAATTCTCTTCTTTGGAGCGAAACTCTGATGAAAGACGAAAAAGGAAAGTCATTAACTACAAAAGCCCAAGAAGGATTATTGAATGCTTTATTAAAAATGGATTATACACTCGAGAGTAAAATGTTAATATCACAAGATACTTTACCATAGCAGACTCTTTTCCAGATGACTGTTCATCTATCTTATATGAAGACTTTGGCCTGTCTAGCAAATGGTGGGACCATTCATGCTTTTCTGAAGATTCACCACCATTGAAATGGTTATACGACGCATTAAAACACTCTCCTGGCCAGTGTGAATTAGCACTGCTTTCTCCACCACAACCGTATCGTGAACCACCTCGAACTGCAACGGAATTGGAATACCGGGATAGCTGTGCAGCACCATGATGCAAATAAGATCTCTGTTTTCTAAGTTCTGCACCTTTTGCCCTGACAGAAGAACCACTTAGAGCAGCACACACATTCCCATTCATGTTTCGTGAAAACCCCAAAGTAGTCGGTTGAGTTTGTGTTCCTTCTTTGGGAGGCTCAATGCGAAAGCCAGAGTCACCATCCTCTTCAGGATTATACTTTTCACTGATACTTGTAGGATTCTGCTGCCCTTGTTTCTTCTGAATTTCACAAATTAACTACATTATAAGTCCTCCACTAAAGATGATATTCTTCTTCTAAAACACAAACTCTTATTCGAACGCATCTGGTACCTTCTAATTACCTGTATGGATGCCTGCAATTCAGCATTTGCATCTGGAGCAGGAACTGCCTTAGATTCTCTCGGAAACTTTTGAGTTGCTTCATGTTCGCGTGCTATACTGATAGGAGCTCTTCTTCTGGTTTTTCAAAAATAGAAGAATGAATTTTGTTAGAAAGAGAAACAAGGGACCAACTGGATATATAATTCTCATTACGGTAGGAAGCCAATAAAAGATATTACCTCCGGGTTTCCTCATCTCGAAGCTTGGCATCAAACTCCTTGCTTGGTGGGTACTTTGGCAAAGAAGAGGGATCGGAGGGGAGCGGTTTTGTAGTAAAGAACTGAAAGAAAATCAACATAAGAATCAAGCACGAGACTATAGAATTAAGGGATGCAAATTGTAAAATAACCTTAAACATTCTGGGTATTACATGCCAACTTTGACAGGAGGGTTTTATCCTGTCAATTTTAAATTATTGTTCTTCCTTTGAATTCCACTCTCATATTTCCATTTCTCTCTTTGTTCAACAATCATTGAATCTTTGTTACTTTTGTCTTTATCATTTATGTTTTTTTCTCTCCATAAAGAGATTGAAGAGATAAGGATAGAGCAACCAAAGAAATTCATGTTGATCCAATGCTTCTACTAAGATTGAATCTGATTGCTGTACCCAACATACCACCCAATGAAGTTCAAATATCATCTTTTCGAAGCAAATTGCCTTCCAAATTAAAATCAATAGCCTCGTCCCAGTTACTCATAGGACTCATCCTTCCAAGAGAGAGGAAAAAATTGTGGTTCCAGTTTGTTATTGTTTTGAACATATGACTTGGAAGAAATAGAACTTTCAACTTTTCCACGTTTGATATTTCTCATTGCTGGAATAATATTCTATTAGAATAAGAGTTCTGTATGTAGGTATTTTGAAAGAAATGGTCAAGTAGATTAGGTGGGAAATTAGTAAACTCTAAGGGGGGCCTTGCTATGTTGTTCATTTATATAACCTTAAAAGGACATTGGGCTTATTCATTTGTATTATGCAGTTTTGTTATACTCCTAAAAGAGGGTTGTAATTTGTAACTTGTTACTACTTTAACGAAAATTTTGTTTCTTTCAGGTTAAAAGACAATGAAGAGAAATCTTTTTTGCTTTTTTATTCTTCTTTGGATAACTCACTTTGTTGGTCTTACATTGTTTAAATTAAATTATATGTTCCTTGTAATTATAGTCCAAGATCTCCTTGGTGCTAACTGGAAGAGTTTAGATTAATTTTTCTTGGTTTAGCCTGAGACTTTCATCCCCTTCTTCTGTAATTTCATTTCTTAGAAAGGAAAATTGTTTCCTACCAAGAAGGAAAACAAGAATCAGATGTAGCATTCTACACACACCATCCATTCAGCTCATATTAAAATGGGAAATCAGGTCCAATTCTTAGTGGTTCACAGGCTAAATATTCTAAATTACAGGACCAGTTTTAAACTTGTATAGCCTAAAAAAATCTAAAGAAAAAAGGAAATTCATAACAAAAGAAAACAGAAGATTTAGCTCACTTCTTTTTTCTCTAAGAAACATACTTCAATGAAAAAAAAAAAAAAATACCTCACTCTGAAGGGCAGATGAAGCTGTTCCACGACTGTCAGGTTCCACTGCAAGAAGGACATCCAAAAGGGCCAATGCAGAGGAAGGGAAGTCTTTGAATGTCTCAGCAACACACCGCTTGTAAGGATGTTGAGGTTTAAAGATGGTGGCATGAGGTAATTTTGACTTTTTCCAGTATTCTTCAGAAGGGGAGCCACAGAGTTTGAAGATCTTGTGTAGTTGCTCCACCTATATTGATGGTGACACATTTAGTAATATAATTTATAGTATCCAATTATAAAAGGTGTCAAATTCTGTGTCTAAAAGTTACTGTAATAAATAGTTATCATCAACCCCACTAAAGTATACATCAAAAGGTTGCATACAGAAGAATCTTCAAGATAGAGAGGGAAAATAAAAAGAAAAGAAAAAGAAAAAGAAACTAACGGAGGAAAACTAATGGAGTAAAACTTATATGGATGCATTTTGTCCGGGCTTTGCTTTGGTCCATTTGGTTGGTAAGTAATCGTAGGATTTTTATTGGCAAAGAAAAATCTACCCACTACATTTTCGATTCTATAGTGTCTTTGGTTGTATCTTGGAGTAAATGTTCAATGTTCTCTTTTTCATTGCCATAGCTTTGTTCCCTTGTTAACCAGTTGGAGAGCTTTTTTGTAGCTCCTTTGGGATGTCCCTCTTTTTGTAATCTTTATTTTGGTGCATTAATGAAATTGTTTCTTCTTAAAAAATAAATAAAATAAATAAAAAATAAAAAACTAACAAAAACTTTTCCAATCTAATACTGAAAATCAATATTCTTAAGTAGATTCATGAACTATATCACCAATCAGAATTCAGGACACGGATTATTTAAGACTTCAAACTTCAGCACTCTAACAACTTCAAACCTTACACGGATAGAGATATCCTATTGAATGCCGAAACAGGGACAATAAGAGCAGATATGTCTACAGGGAAGACATGAAGAAGAAGACAGACAGCAAAGGTGGTTTTAAACACAGTATAATAAACCAAGCTTTGTTAAAAAACAAAAAACAAAAAAAGAAAGAGGAGTCTTTGCAAAGGCCACTTGTCCCAGAAGAGTAGAGAAAAAACCATCATACATTTTTGCATATAGAAGGATCCTTTTTTTTATTCCCTCGCTGCAGTAAAGCCATAGCAAAAAACCATAGTTCTTCTATTTTAATGCCAATAGTCCCTCACTTGTACCTTGATTAAAAAAGAAAGAATCAACGCCAATAGAGGCAAAACATAGTTCATCAATCATGCATTTCTTCTACAGAACATAGGTCATGCATTTGAAACTATGTAAAACAGATTTTTCTTTTTTCCTTTTTTTTTTTTTTTGAAAATGAGATAGAAATTGCTCTTTTATTTTCTTTTTTTTTAAAAAAAAACATAAATCTACTAAGTAAAACAGATAAGTAGGAAGGGGCCATGTAAATGCATTTTGCTTTAAATTTGCAAGAGCAAGAAAGGTCATTAGATATTAGATAATACCTCTGTTCTTCCAGGCATGATAGGCTTCCCAGCATAAAGTTCTGCAAGAATGCAACCAGCACTCCACAAATCCACAGAAACTCCATAGTCCGTTGCACCAAGCAAAAGTTCAGGTGGCCGATACCACAAAGTTACCACACGACTTGTAAGGGGCTGCTTTTGTCGGGAACGGAAAAAGGTTGATAGCCCAAAATCACCTATCTTTAGATTACCATTATTGTCAATCAGAAGATTTGAGCCCTTGATGTCACGGTGCAAAACTCCCTGGGCATGGCAATGTTCAAGGCCACAAAGCAGCTGTTGCATATAGCATTTTATCTGGCATGTCAACATGCATTAAGTGTATAAGTCTAGGTTCAGTCTTCCTGTATCATTATCATTGCCATATAGAATGAACTGAAGTACAACCAGTTGATTTCAAATTCCTCGACCTTTTTATACTTTCACAGTAAAAATGCACAGTATCATATGGCTTGAACGAACAAGTCCTCACATTTTCACAAGCAGTTGAAACACAATTATCAAAACGTACTCACATTCTTACCACCAGCTTTAAATCCATACAAATTATATACTGAGAAACAAAGACAAAAAATCTATTGCTAGCATCAGCATGGGGCCTAGTTTCACTACCTATTAGAGAAAATAGTAATGGTTCACATCTTTTTTACCTTTTAAAAGTTGCAAGAGACAGGTTTATTTTTTTAATGAAATTAATTATGGATTTATTTTAAGAAGCACATAAATACAAGAAAAAATGTAAAGACATTATCAGTCTTTTTCGGTATTACACTTAACACAGGATGTCCTCAGCTACCTCCCACAATCAATCTTGCATTGAAATTCTACAACTAACATCTTAACTTTTCAAATATAAAAGTATGCTATGCAGATAGCGTACTATTTATATAATTATCATCTAAGAGAAAATAACTCTTTAACTCATTTGTTGCTTCCTGTTATTAAGATTTCTATTTTATCGTTATTCATTTATGATTTAAAGTTATCATCACAGATGGGAAAAGTAAATCACCTGTGGTTCAGTGAACTTGATCCCTGGGGTTGCTGCCAACCCCGCGAGATCATGTTCCATGTACTCAAATATGAGATACAAACTGCCGGATACCCTTGAAGTAATAAGACCTTCAAGCTTCATGACATTGGGGTGGTCAAGCCTACGTAGGATAAGAATTTCCCTGGCCATAAAACGAACACTTTCAGGATCCATGTTAGCAAATCGTACCTTCTTCAATGCAACAATCTTGTTTGATTCAATATCACGAGCCCTGTACACACTGCTGTATGTTCCTTGTCCAATCTACATTCAAGATATCCAAAATTGAATCAGTATGTAATTGCCAAGAGATATATGTCCAAAGAGTACAGGTGTTACATTAAATTCAATATTTTTTAGCAGCAAGAACGACCCTGGAAAAATACAGGTTCAAATGTTAAAAAGAATGAAAGAAGAAAGAGATCAGGTGACAATCATGTTGAACTCTTTGGAGGTATGTGGTTAACTAAAATGTGGTAGTATTACCGATAGCATTTAAATAATGTGGACAACATACCCAAAAAAAAGTAATAATAAAAATAAAAGAAAACCTCCTTCCAGATAGTTTTTCAATTCCTACATAGGTTGTTTTATTTGAATCAATCATTTGTGTCGGTATTTCTAATCATTATAAATAGCTATAAATCTTAGTCTTTAATATTGTATAATTACGATATTTTCATTTTCATTATTTTTCTTATTTGTGGGTCTTTCTTCTATATAAGAAGACCTAGCTTCTACACTCTTGAATGATACATAATATTTTATTCCTCTCAAAACCAACTATTTGCACCGTATTTTGTTTCCTCTTGCTCAAAGTCACACAGGTTTTTGTTAATTTTCTATTTCTGTTATCAATTTGTATTGCGTCCTTCAAATTGATAACAGAAGTAGAAAATTAACAAAAACCAGTGTGACTTTGAGCCAGAGGAGAGGAAACAAATTACGGTGCAAATAGTCAATTTGTATTAGGTCCTTCAATATTCTACAGTGCCCATTTTCATAAGAAATCTAATCTTCTTTGGCTTAATGGGTTTAAAGTCATCATCCCAGAATTATGGTATGAAAGAAACCAGCGGGTTTTTGAAGGCAAGCACAAAACCTAGATGGATTGTTTCTCCACAGCCAAGTGTAAAACCTCGCAATGGTGTGCTCTCTCCGATCTTATTCTCTAATTTTTCTGATACTCTCCGAGTCTAATCCGTATGAATTGGAAGGCTTTTATAACTCCCCCTTAGTAATGGTGGTGTTGTTGTTATTGGTATTTTTGTTTTTGCTTCTTTTTGTTATTCTTTTTACTCCTTTTGGAGTTTTTATCTCTAAACATTACTCCGTTTCATTTATCAATGAAAAGTTTGTTTCTTGTTCAAAAAAAATTTATATTGGGTCCTTCTTTTCATACATAAGAGACACGTCACTAAGTTATCATTGTGGAAAAAGAAAGAATAGAGTGCACAAAAGAAGAAAAGGAGTTGAGGCATCTCTGCCCAATGACTCAAGCAATCATTCAAGAAATGAGATTTCCAAAAGGACTCCAATCGAAAACAATAATACTCAAAAGGGGAACATTGGAAAGATCTGGTGTAATTTTCCCTGGTGCCTGCTGTACGATTACCCAAGAACTATTAAACTCTCTGTTCTTATCTCTGAACAACCTATTGTTTCTTTCCATCCAAATAGATCATAGAATGATAGAATAGTTCTCATATTAGTTTTCCACAAAATCTGTCTTTTATTTGAATGACCAGCCCAATAGAAGCTCTAAAAGGATAAAGCTCGTATCGTTGCGCATACACTAAATCTTGCAAAGTCTGGATCAACTAACCAAATCCAGAAAACATCCCCAAAACTAGTGATCTACGGATGCTTCCCCCATTTGCACATGCTAGGGAGAGTAAGGCCCAATGAGAATTTTTCTGGACTCTATGTTGAGTGTTTAAGTTCTTCCAAGCAAGAGGCCAAAGGAAAATTTTCACCATTTTAAATTTTAGGAACCTTAAACTTCCAGATCTGATTTGTCAAAGGCCCGTCAATCTTACCAAAATTTGGAGACAAAAAAACCATAGATGATTTACATGTGAAGCTTTCAGATGTATGTCCCAAATCGATTGGTCTAAGGTGATTGGGGGCTTTTTTCCAATTTTCCAATAAGGTCCAACCATTCATCCAACTCCCTAATCAAGAAGATTTATTCTCAGCTTTAACTCCAAATTCAAGCTGTCTTCATTCCACATATCTGCCACTGCATTAACTTTTGATAGAGCAACTGCAAGTAAGTTTGGAAAGCGATGCAAACGACGCAGGAGATAGCCTAGCATCTTCCCAAAATCTCACCTTATTTGCCTTACCAATTCTAAAAGCAATGAAACGGTCCCATCTGCTTCTGCATTTAGCTATTATTAGTATTCCAAACTCCTCAGTAAAGCCCACTGGGACCCTTTCCTAAAATCCCCCTTTTGACTACTTGGGAGAGATGTCTCATCTCCTTGTCTTTGGTGGATTAACATTTGGGAGTTTCTTCTAGCAATTTTGGAGGGAAAAAAAAAGGCTTGAGGATCTTCATTTGGTTGGCCACAGTTTTTTTGTGTCCCAAGTTTCAGTTCAGCTATTCTTAGGCCTTTTGTTGGTGGTTTTTGGCTTTTTTTTAATGTTCATTCTTATTCAATCTGACTGTATTGCTCCTCGATGAGCTTGTCATTTTCTTGTAGCTGATATCCTAGCTGGTTGTTAGAAAAGACATTCAATCTAGCCTCTGGAAGGTTTTCTAGGAGGAACCAAATTAATGTGAAACACTTGCAATTTGTTGATGATGTATTGCAACTGTTGTTGCTGAATAATAAACCCTGTATATGGCTTCATGGCAGTTGGAATTTGGGGAAAAATAGATGCATCTTTTTCAGGAAAATTGGTTCAGATTCAACTCGAAGTAATTTTTTTCCTTTTTACTACAATGCTTGTTTCTTTGTAGGAAAATTCTTGAGTATGGATGCCTAATCCAATCCTATCTATAATTTTCATTATTAGAAATTAAATTCCTCCATTTGCCATAAAAAGTCACAAACGCATTCGCATATATATCCTAGTGCAATAGAATTGATTTGAAGCACATACTTATACCAAATAAAGCAAGTAAAAAGAAAACAATTTGTTCTTATAACAGAGTCCCTGAGAATATATATAAACTCCTATGCAGAGAAGAGTGAGCATACAGAATGAGGAATATAAAAGAGTAACTAAAAGCAAACTAAAGACATTGGTGCAAAATCAAAATCCTACTAACCTTGTCCAACTTCTGAAAAGAGTCTGCCTTTCTAGGAATCCATCCATTGATCGCTTCTCCAGCCACAGATGTCAGCCAAGAAGGCCATCCAGCAATAACCAAAGCCCCCTTTTCCCCATTAACAACACTCACTATTCTAGGTATTGCATTATTATTATGCACTACTCTCTTTGCTCCATCCTCCATAGTTGGACGTTCTTGACGCAGTGGCTTGGCACTGGCAGCTTTTTCAATGGGGGGTGCTGCCTTCTCAACATCATCCAACTCGGGTGTCGATCCAGAATTCTCTTCCCCAGGTTGATCCGGTATCAATCGTGCCATTGCATCGCTTTGGCCTCCATCAGCATGCAACACGGGCTCTTCTTTCCTCAATGAAGCCCCAAGAATTCGGGAAGATTTACTCGACTTCAAATGTCTTTCTTTGGAATGGTTCTCAGCAACGTAGTCGTTTGCTGGGACTCCCTTAGAGCAAATGCAGCCCATACTCCCTCCTCAGAGTTCAACACGAAAACCAATCCTACAAATTTCTCTACCAAAACAAAACCCAACAACTCCTTCCTCCAACAGCGTCAAAAGCATAGAAGAATAAATAACATCAATACTTTAAACAATCCTGTATAACTTAGAGAATGTATCACCGTTTCCCAACAAGAATTCACAGAGTTATCCAATGATCCACTGCCATGCAAATATAGCAAGGACAACTTGAAAAGATGAGATAAAACCAGATCCCCAGTGAAAAAAAAATCAACAAGATCTTCTCAGAAAACTAGAAGAACCCAATCAACAAACATTCCAGAGAGTGAAAATGGGGAAAACCTTGAGGAGGGAAATCAATCAATCCACATCCAGTTCCAACCAATGCAAAGCGGAAAGAAAATTCCCAAATGGGATGCTTCTACTCCACCCCATCCAAACGGCAAACCCGAGAATTTCTGATTTCGGGTATGTGATCAGTTGAACGTCAGTTGGGTTCCAACTCGAAGCCAGAGGGGAAACTAAAACACCCAAAACACAAAACACAAAAATACTTTATGGAAGTTGTGAGAAGAATTAGAAAACCGGTTACCCTTTTCGGATTAGGGGAAGTAGGCTTGCTTGCCAGCGACAAGAAAACGCGTGAAAGATTCTAGAGAGACAGTGGGGACAGAGAGAGAAATTTTCGGATCTGGGGTGAGCCGATAAACGCGAATGGCCAGTGGTGGCTCAGTAAAATAAGCAGAAACAAAATTAACTTCTCTTGCAACGAAGAAGGAAGAAAAGGGAAAAGAAACTGACCCAATTGCCCAATTCGCCCGATTTGTCTTCAGACTCAGAAAAAACAAATTTCTCATTCGTCAATTGGGTTTGGAGAAGAGAGGGAAAGGAAGACGAAAATGGCGAAGAGCGTGGCAGAGGGCGGCCACGTGGCACGCGGAGAGAGACTTGAAATTGGAAATGGCAGCATCAGAGACAGAGTAGTAGGAGAATCGGAAAATTGATGGCCCGCCGGAGAATTTCATGGCTGAATGGCCATTGCCATTGCCATTGCCAATGGGTGTTGTAATCGTTGGATGTTTGTTCTTGATCTCGACGTGGGCCGATGCGATGTTGGGGGCAGCGCCCAGTTGGGGCCCATAAAACTGCCCAAATGTCCATTTCAGTTACCAGACCACAAACAACATTTTAGGTAGATAGAAATCACCCTCGTCCTTTTAGATATTTACATAATGAATTTCTACTTTTAAATATAGCGTAAAGTTTGATATTCTTTTATCATTCAGAATTAAGACACGTCCTTCAAAATTGCTAGTACATTCAATGAGAGGTTATCTAATAAAGGTTTAAGTGATATATGACATTTTAACATTCAAGAAAATATAGCAATGGTTTTGCCAATAAGAATTATGTTCGATCATGGGTCTAAATTGTGATGAATACTCCAAATTCGATGAGATTTGTCAGAAAATAAAATAATTCCTCGCCTTAGGAACATATATTTCGAGTATTGTGAATCAATTTTGATACAATGGATATTTTAACATCTTTTAACATGAGTAGTGAACATGATGAAATAATGGTACAATTACCAATTCGATGTACCTTGATGTATTTCATCTCAAGTATATCAAGTATACCACTAATTTATGTTTAAAAAAAATTATACCACTGATTAATATATTTCGTTTAAAGTATAGGTTACAACTAATATACTTTAATATACTACATACTAGACATATCAGTCGACATTGGCAACATGAGCCCTCACAGCTGTCTCCTGAATAAATTGATAAGACAGGCATTTTCGACCCACCAAGTGGAACCGGTGATTGATCACGACCAAGCTAAAGTTCTGAAAAAAGTGTCTCCACAAGTTAGAACCTCCTCAAAGAATATAAGGTTTTCATGAGGCTCATCTTTAGCCATCATCCAGGCATGGATACCTTTGTTTAAGAGAAAATTTTTTGTATTAAAATTCTCATATTCTAAATCAAATCAATAAGCGTTTCCACACTGTCTAAATAATTTGATTTCTCAAACACCATTATAGTTTCTTTGATTGATTTAAATTGTTCTTAATTAATACTTGTAATTTTCTTTGTTAATTTTTTTCAATTATTGTTTCGAGGGTCATAATCACTTATTGATTATTTTTCTATTTTTGTTGTAGAAAATATGACAAAGATGATAAAAACACCACAAATGATTAGGACAAAAGCTCAGAGGACTAAAGTGAATAAGATGATAGAAACTTTATCTCTTATAAATTTAGAATTGAGGCATGATCTAAATTGGATTTAGTACACTTAGTCTAGTATATAGTCCCAGTAAATAGTCAACTTCAAATGATTATTTGAGAATGAGGTTTATTGAAAGATGACCAAAGACCAAGTGTTTAAGATCACTTTTATCTCTAGATAGAGCCTTGAGAACTTAAATAATGTTTGAAATTGATATAATGGAAATTATCTTTATGACCTTGTGACCAAAGTTTTTGTGTATGAACTCATGATAACAGCAGTTTTGGAAAGACATAGGGCCCTTAACATGTGGAGATAGGATCCATTTTCACCGAAATAAACATGGAGCGGTTGTTTTCAACTATGAAATTCCAAAAAGTTCTTTATGAGTACTTTCAAAATTCATTTCCAAGATGAATGCGTATATTGTATGTATATATTGTTGTTGTATATGTTAAATGAAGTTTGTGCCCAATTTTGGAATTTGAATGTGGGTGATCGAAGGATGATTGTGTTCCCATTATTCTTTTATACTTTTTTTTATGTACTTCCAGATATTCAGATTCTACCCATTCCTATTCCAGATCTCAATTAACCAAAATTCCATAACAAAATAATCTCAACAATTATCATATTATGAATAAAGTAAAATCGAGAAAGAGAAATAGAGTTGGAGATGGAGATGGACACACGGATGTATAGTGGTTTGATCTTAATATTGATCTACATCCACTTTTAGTCATTTCACTGAATCAGAAAGCAATAGTCAAAGAATACTGTCCGACGAGAAATTCAATGAAGAGATACTCAAATTTATGAACTTGATTTGTATTTATGGACGTTCGTGTTACAATCTCTCTTCAGACGGCCATATGGGAGACACGTTTGATTTGTTGATTTAAAAATTAATTTAGGACACGTGTAAATTTGTGATTGATCATATACATAATTTTAAATTTGTAGCGTGACATTTAATAATTAGCCGAAATTTCTTATTCAACAAATGTCCCTTTTCTAGATTTATGCACGTATGTTGCGTGGATATCGAAAAAAAAATAATATGTGTGACATTTGACCAAAATATGAAGTATGGTTATTTGATGTACATATCAATTTTGCACCAAACTTTGATTTTTTTTTAATTATTATTTGTCAATTTTTTTTTTTGAATTTGGGATATGATTATGTTGGCCTTTAATTCAAAATCCTTCCAAAATGGTAAAATTTCTTATTCAATTAAGTTTGATTTGCCATGTTTCGATTTGGACCAAATCATGGCAAAAATCGAGTTTCTCCATATATTCCATGGCAAAATTTCTCCTTCAATTAGGTTTTGAGAATTTGTATTTCATAATCTAACCAAAATTTATCTCATAATTTGGATTGAATTTGGCATAAATTAAACAATTGTACCAAATTCAAATATCATCCTCCATGCGGCCAACATCCTGATTTGCGTTTGGAACAATTTAGGCATCGAATAAGCTAAAACCTTTAAAATTTGATTTGCAATTAAATGCATTCATACCGAAAATAATCGATTTGAAATTAATGTGATGGAACAATTGTGTCTTCTACGTTGTATATAAATGAAGACATTGCCGGCAAGTCTTCATGGATTGAGGAGTGTTGTGTCTTCTACATGGTTTGGCCGAATGAACAATTGCTATCTGAATTCTATCTAGAGTCCACGAAGATGATGAACCAGAAGAGAGAGATTTTTTTTTTGTTATTTTAGTTTTTTTTAATAAATTAGTAGGTGGGGCGACACCCTTTAAGTTTCTTTCTTTTTTTCTTCTGGTTCGACAACCTCAGTTTACTTTTTCTTTTTTTTTTACTTTCTTCATTTTTCTTTCATTGTTTTTTTCTTACTTTTATTGTTTTTTTCTAATCTACTACATTTTTTTTATCTACAATGACAATATGCTATGACATTCAACTTTTCGCTTTTCTTGAGAG